TGAGTTAATATGAATTATGTTTGTTGACTGTGGAAGAGATGCATGAAAATCTTTTTATAACCAACTGATACCTTTTTTACAGCATGTAAAGAAGGATTGTGTTTGTTTTAAATTAAAACAATATATTAAAAAAAGAACCTGTGAGACTGCAAGACAGTTGATGGAATGGTGCTTGGCTTGATGGATCATAAGAGTTTTTACTGCGGAATGTGTTGCAACACTATTTCTTTGCCACAAGGGGTCAGTCCAAAGCTAGAGAAGTTTGTTATAGTTTGTTAAGTTTGTACATAAAAAGAGAAGGAGAAGGAAGGGAAGAAGCGGTGAATATTAACAATTCAGTGGTCATTTCAAACTGGAATCCAAAGCAAAATTATTATTATTATTATTAATATGATTGTTGCTAAGCAATTCTGTTTTACACTCTGTGAGTGTATTAAAACATATCTTTTAGGGATAGGGGGAGGGACATGATATATTATCTAAAGTTCTCATCAGCACTTTGGGGAAGCAATAAACTTTAGCAACCGAAAAGGTCCTGATTACTTTCTCTGATAAATACCTTGCCAATCTGATTCCTGCATATTTTTGCTTTGAAGCCAAACGGGAAGACAGAAACTGAGGTTTATTATAAGATCAAATAAAAATATTTTTTTGGGGGGAAAGACAAACATATTTCTGATAAGGCAAGTCCTTGGAACAAATACCCCTTCTCCTTGCAAGCACATTTTTAATAAAGCAATATTAATATGAAGGCTCACAGATACTTTACTTGAGAAAACATAGAACATTTTGAGAGTAAGAAGGGGAGAATATACCATGTGATCGGTGGTGGCATTCAGCTGGTTCTATCTGGTTCGGGTGAACCAATAGCGGTGGCAGTGGGAGGCTCTGCCCACCCGCACGTAATCACGTCCCATTTTTGACCCTCTGTGCATGCACGGAAGATCCTGCGCATGCCCAGAGGTGGCAAAGCAAGCACGTGCGCATGAGTGCTCACGCTTGCGAACCGGTAGCGAAGGTAAGTGATAGCAGGTTCAGTGTAAGTGACACCTGGGTAATCTTACAGCCCAACATCTGGACCAGGGGTGTCAAACTCAAGGCCTGGGGGCCAGATCCTGCTAAGGGGTGCTTAGATCTGGCCCACAGAGCCATCCTAGAAACAGCAAGACAACCCTCTGCCAGCAAAAACAACCCTCATTGGCAGAGGGTTGCAGGAGACCGTCGCAGCCGAAAACAGATCTTAGGAGTCTGTTTTTGCTGGCAGAGCCAATGGTGAGTTCCTACCTGTTTGGCCCGGTTTGGCCGAACCATTCATGGTTTGGCAGCCTGGATTGCTGGAACCGGCAGTGACCCAGGCCTGCCATGCCCCTGAACCGGTACTCCTACAGCAGCGCCATCTTTTTTTTTTCTTGTAAATGTGTTTTTTATTTTCCATTTTCATTTCNGGGATGCCATCACTAAGTGGAGACAAGTCAATGTATTTGTTCATTTCATGGAATATGATTCTCTTCTGGACAGAATTCTTCCCTTCCATGAAGTGTTTAACCATTTTCCAGGACCCATTGAAGGGAAAGTCTGGATCACAACATTCTTGGGAACATATAAAATACAACAGAGCAAACTGTTCAGATATATCCATAGTATTTGGACCTTTGCTTTTCAGGAAAAAAAAAGACTGAAAGATTATTATTTTCAACCTGACATATTCATGGAACAGGAATTTGAAGATCGTTATTTTCTCTGTTCTGTTTCAAAGCATGTCTTTTCTGTCAAAGGTCGGAGGAGATGCACCCAGAAAGCACCACTGGAAAACCAACAGAAAAGGAACAGCATATGGATCCGAAGTTACCATCATCTTTACAGTGTCATTAAGACTCTGGCCCATGTCTTGAAAGCTGCCTATTCTTCCAGATCCAGGAGGAGAAAAAATGAGGGGGAACAGAAATTGTCTGCTCTAAGGCTGCAGCCATGGCAGGTATGGGGACCCAACAATCATCCAACAACCAGATGCCCAATTTTCCACTCCAGTTGACCAATATGACTCTTATTGTTGTCGTTCCTTAAGGTTAAAAATAGCTCCTTTGATCTCTTCTTTGGCTTCATTGTCCTTCCATAAACTTCATTCAGTTTTTGTGCAATGTCTTCTCGGTAGACAGCAAGTTGACCTTATACTGGAGTTGGGTTCACCCCAACCAGAACATTCAAGGAATTATGGAAGCCTTTTCCTTCTTTCCATGAGCACCACACTACCAATTCACAGTCAGTTTGCAATCAACTACTGTTTTGAGATCTCCTTCTCGTCTTCTTGTAAAGTTTGGTATCCGTCATGCTGCTTCTAGTGGATTGTTATTGGCATTATTCATATGATTATTAAATCTTAAAATTTTACTACCAATTTTTAAAAATCATTGACCCTTATGCATATATAATAAAATGAGAAAAAGTAGAAATCAAATCTTAATGATAGATCTACATTGTAGTTGTTATTTTATTTTCTTACATAAGAACCTGTAGTTTGTCAAGTCCTAGCTGCTAAAAATAAGATATTTTTCTAATTGATTTATTTTTGCAATTCTTCCTATCAGTAAAACATCAATATTTCTCTGGATCTCTAAGGTCTTGCCTCTTCTAACCCCTCAAGAAAGCAGAACTCTTGAAACAATCAGCGTTTCAAAAGGAAACTTTTATTGAAAGATAGTGATAGGAAGGAGGGAAAGCAGAATCTAAAGGTCTCACGTGAAAATATTAGATGAAAAGTTGTAGAGGCCCCTCTCCTTTGTCCCCTTTGTCCAGTCCTTCATGAGCCAATCTCCAGCTGTGAAATTATTGTGAGGATTTTGAGCTGAGAAAATGATAAGGAACTTTTCTCAGGCACCATGTACTTGTCTTTCTGAGGCTGAGACAAAACAGGCACATCCCTCCCACCCTCCTCCCCATTCCCAAGAAGGTAGATCAAAGTAAAGAAAAGATCAGAGCTAGGAATAAGTCATAAAATATTCAAAATCAAAAATATTCAGATCAAAATAGCTTTCTCTAAGGGTTGATAGAAATCTTGCACCACAAAAATATTGCATTAGGATATATTAGTAGTCAACTATATCCATCTATGTTAATGAAGACATAGAATTATAGCTAACTAAGGGCTAATTGTTATTAATAACTCTCCAGGTTTATGAGGAAAATTGGAAATAAATTGAGTACAATTTTTCATACAATTCTAATTCATTTACTTATCGTACTATCCAGTCCTCACTTAACTAGCTTCCTTATCATCACATCAGGAAGTAGTTTGTCAAGGAGAGAAGCAGAACTTTAGGAGAAATTTCCCAACAGCTAGAACAATTAATCAGTGAAACAGCTTGCCTCCAGAAGTTGTGAATGCCCCAACATGGGAAGTTTTTAAGAAGAGGTTGGATAACCATTTGTCTGAAATGGTGTAGGGTTTCGTGCCTAAGCAGGGTGTTGGATTAGAAGACCTCCAAGGTCCCTTCTGACTCAGTTATTCTATTCTATTCTATTCTATTCTATTCTATTCTATTCTATTCTATTCTATTCTATTC